ACCCTTTGGGTCTGAGTACTCATGTGTTTGGTCAAACGTGCATGCATGTGTATGTCTTTGTGAGGTTGTGAACCTGTGTGAGGACACACACATGTGAGTGTACCCGTGCGTGCTGAGCCCAGCATGGTGGGACGTAGAGGATGAAAGGACGGCCTCCTGGTAGGTGGAGGGTGAGCGCAGGTGTGGGCCCCCTCTCATGCTCTGCTGTCACTCCCTAGGTCTGAGCTCCCTCTCCCCCATCTGTCCATCCCCAGGAGCAGCGAGCCTGCTGGGAGTAGGCATGGCCCTGGGGTTCCCCACAGCTGGCTCTCTCCAGGTGAGTGGGAGCCTCTTGGGGCTTCTGTGTCTTCCACGAAGGCATGTGTTTTTTCTCTGTCCCCTCTAGCTAGCCCAGGGGACTGCCTGAGCTATCACCCTGTCTGCCTCCCTCTGGGCAGCCCCCCTTCCTTTGTCCTCCAGCTCTCCTGGGTGCTCACTCCTAAATGGGCATCGCTGGGTGGCGTTAAGTGTGAATGGGGCAGTGAGTGTGGGAGGCTGGACCTAAGTGGGTGGTCCTTGAATGACTTCACAAATGACCACATCAATCAGTCTCTTGATGGCTTGAGAATTGTGCTGGATGAAGGTACTTAGATTGTAGAAAACAGACATAAATGGAAGGTATTGCCACTGGGGGCTCACGATTTCTGGGGGGCATCGGAGGGTCCTGTGTGAGTGTGAGTAGACGGCTCCCTGGGAGCCCCAAGGTTCTGGACTTTGCAGCTGCCTGTCTTCTGCTGGAGGGATGGCCACATGGGGGAGCAGTTCAGCTGCCTTGAGGAGGGTTGGTTCTGTTCTGGACATCTTTTAAGAAGGATTTAGATAAGCTGGAGTTGGTGACTGCCTAGGAAGTCTTCACTGGAGGAGAGACCCTGTCCCACGCAGGGGGCTGCCACGTTTGGGTTGATCTTGTGCCAGCGTTGGTCGGTCAGCAAGCATTTATGAAGTATGGACTACGTGGGTCCTAGGCCTCGAGAGCACCTGCAGGGGTGAGGAACTCCTGTGGCCCATCCAGCTGGGTGGCCAGGCCTTCGAGGCAGTGATCCAGCAGGAAGACCTGGGCCTTGCTGTAAGAACATGAAAGGATTTGTGGAGCTGAGTCAGTACTGTTTGGTTGGGTGATGGCTTGTTCTTCCCTGTCCTTTCTCCTGTGATTTCTTACATCTCAAGTGGCATGTTTCCTTGAAGGGCTTACTTCCTTCAGCTGCCTGAGCTACTCTGGAGAGGCTCAATCCAGAACTCGCTGTTTATTTTCCCCTTAAATCCTCCCATCTCCTTATCTTCCCTGTTACTCTAGAGGGTACCCCCATCTTCCCAGTCCCTCATGTTCTCAACCCAGGAGTCATCCTGGATTCCTCACTCCCTGCTCCCTCCCCCGCCCAGCCCAATCCAGTATGGTGTCAGGGCCCATCAATTTCACCTCTGCAGCACCTCTGGTCCCTTTCACCTCTGCAGCACC